TGACAGATGGATTAGAAGATATACGCTGATTATGATATTCAGTATTCAGATCTCCCACAAGGCAAAACTATTTGAAATTGGACCATTTCATTTCATTGTACACCTGTCTTACTGTGAGCTTGCGGGGGCTCGAGCTGCATGCGCAGTTTGGCTTTCTCTTTACACCGCGTGGTTTGAATAGAAAAGTGCATATATTTGTGGAGTGATTTCCATATGATCACGAGCCTGTCACGACATCTTTATGATGCGGTTGCATGTTCGATATTCGGAATAATCTCATTTGCCGTTTTAAGCTCTTATATAAATATCTAAATGTAGTTATCATCTGCCACTTGATTGTCAATAAATTGTTTTTTACTTTGCGTTTCCTCAAATTTACGCTGACGAATAATGATTTAATAAGGCACGATCTGAGGACGATTTCAATTTAATGGCCGACAATGACTCAAGCTGATAAAAAGATACAGTTTCTTCGTTTAGATTCTCTCCGGCCGCAAATTCTAGAATGACTACGATGGTTTTTGTGATGAAGAATTCAAATTAAATTAAAAAGAAGAAGAATTAAAAAAACATAATAACGCACTTATAAAACAGAGCCGAAATGATCCCAAATAGAGTCTTACACAAATATATTATCTAAATATTACAGACGCAGTCACAAAAGCACTACATCATAAACTATCAACAATATATCTTAACCAGAACAACATTTCAAACAAACTATCTTGTACGGCTCGACCCACTGCTACTGCACTGGTATAGCAAGGACTGTGTATTTTGTAACAGACTGTGAAGACTATAGTGTTAATATCTCGTTTTGGAACCCCGTCAAAGTGTTTGCAGTCACATTTAGAACTTTGTGTAGGTATTATAATATATACGTCTTAGGTTCTCCTAAAATATTTTTAACATATATATAGTGCGGAATACTGAGTTAATTGTTCATCATGTTCTAATTTTCAATAGTAAATAGTAAATCATTTCAATACAGCTACGCCTCCCTCACTCTGCACTCATCCAGGAAAATTCCAATTGCAATCACAAAAATTTAATAAATTTGGCTGAGAGAAGGGATGTCCTCGGATGTTCCATGAAATTTCTGTTCTTTTAATAAGAGAATTATTAAAATTATCAACGGGTCTCAATCATGAAGGAAAAAAAGGCGGATATGACGTTGACCGAAACGTCCGATATCGTTTGCATGGGAGTTGTGATTGGTATGATCCATTTTAAAGAGGAAAGTTTTGCCATTAATCGTAGACCAGTATAAAGGAAATAAAAGCAGATTTGGCAGCTCAATTTGACGATTTGTATACGAGGACGAAAATGTAATTTCATCATGCAATATATAATTTCCGACTATTTCGTTGTTCACCGAATAACACAGTAAAACGGAAGAGATCCTTGTATGTGCACAAACAATTGTACAGTTATGCACAGTTTAGAAAACTAAATAAGCATTCGCAGTTAGCCTTCGCAAAGGATGACAGGACAGCTGTTATCAGACTCAAAAGTGCATGATGATAAAGATGCAGTCCACTTTTTCTGTCAGTGCAATATGCGCACATCGTATATAATAGAAAACTAAATAAGCATTCGCGGTTAGCCACTGCAACAACACTTAATATTTAAATAGTCCACTTTAGATTATTGCTTGTGATGGTTATATAATGATCATTTTACCAAGATCTCTCTCAATTGTCGTGATGTTTAATCGCTAAATGTATATAAAGAAATCTATCAGAAAATGTTCATGCACGTGCGAATCTTAACACTATCACGTACTCCACTGCAATCGAATCAAATTGTGAGTGAGTCTGTCCATTTCCACGCATTTACAAATAGAGATAGAACTGAGAGCGTCATCAGGATGAATGATCGTATCAATCAATCTTTATACTGCACTGATGAGACAAGACCAGCACAGATATTTTTATATCAGCATAAAATGAACGCCTAGTGAGAATTTATTAAAAAGTATAGAAAGCTGAGGACAGGAGATTGACAGCAGAACCTATATATAAGGTACCAAGATGTAACAAAAAGAGTTAAATCTATGAGTTCGACCTTTAATCCCGTTCAGCCTTCTTACTTTACTATTCCAAACATTTTTGAAGTTCAGTTATTGCATGACTTGTCTATAACATGTCTTCAAATCAACTACTATATAGAAATAAGTTAAATTTAAATTATTTTCAAGAATTAAACGCGTGTCCCTTCTGAGGATGAAGGGGAAAACATGCTTGACTTGTTGGTTTCTGGCTAGTGAATTACTTCTCTGCGAAATAATCACGGTGAACTGTATGATACGGCGGCGTGATTAGTGCCGGATAAGCACGGATGGATTGCTGATTCTCTATTTTGTGTCCACAGTGCAATCTTAACTAACGCCTGCCAAAAACAACTTTATGACATAATAATCCCCAGTAGGCAATTATAAAGAGTAAATTTCGCTATAGCCTATATCCTTAAGAATAATAATGAATTTCAGCATGCACTGTTTCCAATTAGGAAAACAGCATCATTTATTCGTCACCTAAAACCAAAGCTGAAGCATGTTGACCAATTCGGAGTTGCCGAACCAAGGCTTACCATTTATATAGGTGGAGTATTAAATATCAAAGATGTGTCACTGTGTCATAGGGACTCCGGATGGCAACAACATTTAAATATCTAGCAAAATTCGAACTAAACAAATTAAGGCATTTTTTACAGGTACTCAAGTAATTTTAAACATGCAATTAACCAGCGAGAGAAAAACGAAATTGGAATGTAGAGTCAATCAAACCATTTCCCGTCCGTGATAAAAGTGTATTTTGATCCCGATTCAGAACTTAATTAATACGCTTCTCTTAAAATTTCAAGTTCGGAGGATGGACTGAGAATAAATTTTAAATTATCTCCCTTTTAACCTACGAAACCTTTATTTTTTCCTGATGCAATCATAGACAAAGAATGTCAATCAGTTGCATTTGATTAGAAACCGTAATCACTCAGTATTTTGATAAATTGCCATACAAAATATGGCCACTTTACACTTGGAAATTTTGCTGCAATTTTAGTTGCGATTTTCGTCTTTTGATGGTTATAAACGAGTGAGCAGTCATGCCTCAGCTGACAATTTTAACTTATTCTGCCGTTTCACATCTACAATAGAAGAATCTATACTATATACTTCGGTGGGGGATGCTACATCCACAGTTTTAACAAGGTGATCGGTTAAACGCGACATTGGTAATAGCACACAAGCGTCGGTAAATGTTTTTCAGCTTACTGAGTTGCTTGCGATAATTTTACTAGTCGTCTCACCCATCGGATGATAAAAATCAAACTCTCAAATTTCACTGTAATGTCCGATAAATAATTACGCACACTTCTAAAACGCCTAACGTATGAGGCATTTCAGCCACCTAGCTCGCGTTATTTTTCGTGAAAACAGTCTGCTCTCATAACGCCGACAGGCCGCCGACGTGCCGCCGACTCGAGTCTACGCAATTTCGAAGCATATGGAAACACGTTGTCGGCGACATCTGCGACTAATTTGTATTCGCCGACTCGAGTCGGGAAAGTCGTGACGGCAGTGACGTCCGCCATGCAGCATCGATAATTAAGTGGGATGGACATATTCATATATTCATGTTCACAGACCATTAAAAGAATTGATATAAAAAGAAATTAATAATGTAACATTGAAACACGAACATATGAATCCACCCTACTTATCAAGCTGGCGACGCCACTGCGTGACGGGTTCAACTTTTTTAATGGCCGGGGACCTGTGATTTTCGTTATGGAAACACCAATCTACGTCATAAATCTACGTTGCCTGCACCTTAATTTCCCCATGTTGCATGGTGCAGCAATGCAATGCAGAAAGCCAATAGTGGCAGAGAAGCAAAGTCTTTTCGTTGCTGCTGCCATTTTTAAAACTCCACCCCACTGGTAGTCGTTGGCATAATTTGCTTCACCGACTCAAGGCGCCGATCCGTATGTGCGGCATATCGGTGGCATGTCAGCCATGGAAATCAGACTTTAGACCTGCTTCAAGTGCTACGTGTTCGTCGTTAAAACTTGGGGGTTGCACTCCCCCTCCCCAGTTAGGATATATATAGTCACGCTACGACTCTGCTTGTCGCTTATTACGTCCAAAGCTCACAGCGCAACTGGAGTGAGAACAATGAAAGCACGGTGGAGAAAAAATGAAAATATTTCGCTAGCGAAGGGTGGATTTCCACATACAGAGACAGGGGGGATCCAGACTGATGCGACTCAATACTCATTGATCCATAGTTGGAGACTGGCGGAATTCGGCCTTGGTATACTATTTTATGGTTATACCATATTCCGGTATATTCGTCCAATGGTCGACATTTCGGTACATTCGACCACGATCGAGTATTACCATATTCCGGTACAGTTAGACCATGGTCGAGTATACCATATTTCGGTATGGTCCAATATACCGAAAATTAGCATATTCGACCTTGATAAAGTCCTATACACGGGAATATGGTATATTGCATTCTCGATTCAGGTCGAATATACCGAAATATAGACCCCATAGAATAAGATTCAAAACATCGCATCAGTCAGCCAAAACGCTGGGTCCGCCCCTGTCTTTACAGTCCTAACTGAAATTTCACTAGCGAAATCTTTGCATATTTTCGTTCGAATTGAGAAGTCAAGTTGAACTAATTTATTTATGCAGTTAGAATTCTAAAGAAAATATTCAAATATTTCGCGCTGGCGAACCATTTCTTCGCATGTGGAAATCCAGCGTAAGTTATTTCAGAATATCTGTGCTGCTGGATATTCCAACTTTTAATGGTCTACTCTATGGACCTGTTTTCCTGTTGATGGCATAAAATTCCGAGGGCTAAAAAATCTGAACAATTGTTTGAGTATGCAAAACATTTGGGTGTGCCGCGATATTTGCAATACTAGTCCTGGGTTCGACCATCTGTCCATCCGTTCCGATCAGGTTCCGATAGACGAATACATATTGAGTGTTGTATATATATATATATACAAACGTTATAATGCTGATCTGTTCGAAAATGCTTCAAGTTCTGTTGATTATTTGTTGCTGTATAGCAAACTCTTTGTCCCATAATATCGGTATTAAAGTCGGTCCAATACTCAAAACACACACAGCGCTCTCGTATTTTGGTTTTAGTGCGACAGGAGTTGTTGGAAGCGGTAAAGATATATTAAAGGTCAGTATCAATAAAGACGCAGTGATCAAGTATTTATAAACAGAATTCGCTTCTGACAGAATATTTCTCACTCTGTAAGAGATGTTTGTATGTTCCTTGTATTTGTATCTAACTCGTATTTGTTATATTAGGGTGGCAGTCGGCAGTCCAAAAGCCAATACTTCACGTATGAACACTGGGTTTCCGTCGCCGGAGAGGAATTTTGACAACAGCAGTACGGGCGCCTTATATAGATGCCCGTATACTATGGACCCGTCAGATTGCGAGGATATAACTGTTATACACAATCGTTTTCGTAAGTATACAGTTTGCGAAGGTAGTAAGATGAACCAAGCAATCTCCCCTCAGCCATAAGTGCTGCATCAATGTATAACCCTAGGGCTGATTTGATTAATTTAATATAATTTGAAATTACAGTTGTATACTATTCTCCAAACTCTTACCGTCTAATTTGTGAGGGAAGAATAACTATAGAATACCCTGCCAGCAAAGCAACCTGTTCCTGTTAATGAAACATACAACCCTAAACCTCAATATAATTCTCATATTTATAAACATGATCAATTAATATATATATAGTCGACCTTGCAGGATATTCTATAGTTGTTCTGCAATTCTGCGTTTAATAACAATGGGAACATACAGTTTAGAGATCCCTAAAAAAATATGTATATATATATATGGATGTATATTTTTGTTGAATTAAGGTTCATTTGAACCACGTGATGGTTGGTATGGTGTTACAGTTACTGGTGGAAGATTACAAGATAAGGATGTCATGGTGAGTTAATTTCATTTAACTGGAAGGGAAGAGTAGATGGGTTTTTATTATATGAACATGAGTGTTATATAGAGTTTTTCGCCACCGAGAAAAATCGTTACTAAGAATTGTTCATATAATAATTTGTTCATATAATAAATAGAATATTCCATATTTCTGCATAACCATATAATATTTTCTATTTATATAATTACTTCAATCTGATGTATCATTTGATTGAAACTTTTTTTCTTGTGTTTAAGTAATTGTTTCAAAATTCTACACATTGTAGGTCTATTAATTTTTGGCACAAGTGTCTTGCATAATGTATAAGAGTTTATTTTTTAAGAATATTTTAATGTTATATCCTATTTTTAGGTTTGTAGCCATCGGCCAATTGTAAAACACTGTACAATCACTGGTGATTGCAAGGACGCAATGCCTGGGGTTTGTTTCACTGTTGGGGGTCATATCATTGAAGCAATCCAAACCGTTAGTCAACGTAAGTTGTTATACATTATTGGACCTTGTATATTTTGATATTTGCAGAATTGAGACTAAATGTCACTATAATAGTGAGATCATTGTATTGAAATTTTTAATTTCTAAATAATCTGACTTCCCGACTATCTATCGTCATTTTAGAATTCAATATGGCTTATTGAAGCATTAACTGTGTATTGTCATTTTAGAATGCAATATATCTTATTTGAAGCATTAACTGTGTATTGTCATTTTAGAATGCAATATTTATGGCTTATTTAAAGTTGTATATAATTTAGAACTATTTCAACTCTTTGTGAAACATGCAATGCCAATTGAATTTAAGTTTGAATTTTAAGGAATCCACTGATCAGGTTCTAAACTTAGAAATTTTCATTACTCTACGTCAGAAAGTTCTAGTGTAAATATAGTCAATTATGGAAATTAATGTTCTCCATTTGCAGGTCAATTTGAAAAGCGTGGATTGTTTTACACTGGTTCTCGATTTGGGGAAACTGGTATAGGTGCAGCAATTAGTCAGGTAAAGACGTTATTTGATACATAAAGATTTCAGTTCTGTTTTTCTTTATTCAAGCTTTATCTTTATTCTTGTTGCATGTGAACAATAAGCATTTCACCATTTGACCATTTGAGGCTGCTTGTCATTTGTATTCTGTGCACAATCACAATTTTAATGGCAATAATTATAACAATTCCTTAAAAATTTACAACTTTTAACAGGATAGACTATGGCTACCTGCAGACTATTTCTTTTATAATACACTAAGAAAAAGATTTTATACAAATGTTTTCAGGCAACAGTCTAGTTCTTCATTGTTTAAATTCAGGAATTTCTTTTTGTTTCACTTCTACTCTTAACATTTATATAGCGAAGTATAATACTAGTACTATTTATGTTTTAAAATTTAAATCTGCAAGGTGGAAAAATTTCTGTGATTCTATACAGTTATAGAAGCATGCTTCTCGACCAATCAACATGCACATAACTACGGTATATACAGCATGTTATATTATAAAACAGCCACAGTTGATAATTTATTGGCAAATAACTGAATGTTATGCTATTATATTACAGGATCAAGTATTCTACTCAGGTGCTGTGGGTGATTTTGCATTTTCAGGTATGCACTAATGCACTTTAGCACTTATATTTATTAGTTTAATAGATCTCCTTTAGCTATTGGGTGAGAAAATCCATTAGAGCTAAATAATTTTTTGACATACATGATCTATTTATGATTTCTATTCTGATTATTAATGACATGGTACCGGTACATGGTAGTTTACTATTAAGATTGTGATTTTGACGGAATGCCTATGGTATGATCAAATAAGTGGTGTAATTTTTGCTCCTTAGCTCTAAAGAACTCCTTTTTGAAAATTGAAAAATTCATTTCATTTTTGGCTCATTTTAAACAATGTAGGCTCAGTAAGGAACTGCTTAAAGCACATTATATATAACTAGTTGCCTTGTCAGATGTTACTAACAGCTCTTCTCTTTGCAGGTTCAATTTCAAGTTTAAGTAGCGAGAATTTAGACCCTTTTCGAGTTACAGAAGAGGAATATGCCTATGGAGGTACAATATACAATGTTAAACTTTGAAATCAGTTTACCATCCTATGGAAAGGATTTGTGCTTGTAAAAAACATGCTTACTTACTTACTTAAGTTAATGTTACTATTTTATTCCTTTGATATCAATATTTTTTTTTTATGTTATCAGCAATCAGTAGCGTAGCCAGCCTGACAATTTCTCCCGCTATGCTAATTTTTTGGTGTTCATTGACTGTGAAGACAATAAATTTCTAAAGAAATGAATAATTATAATAACTCAAAATTTACATAGCGGGACAAAACCGTCAGGCAGGCTACGCCACTGTCAGCAATGTTCTGAGTTTTATCACTTTTATGTAAATTTATTTCATAATTTCCAATTTTACAGGTTACTCACTAGCAACTGGATCATTTTTTAAGCCTGGCAGTAATGGTGAGGAACCCCCCCCCTGAATGACAGTAATTTTACATACATATATACAGATTTGATGAATTTGTAGCAAATTACACAGAAAATCAGTTACATATAAACAGTGAAATTACTTTTAAAATGAATTATTAAGAAATTAATTACTTTTTAAATAAAGATGAGAATGAGTGGGTCCTATGCACTCTACCAGATTGCTGCACCAAATACATGTATAACTATTAACGTCTTGTATGTTCGGGTGAAAAAATAGAATTATCAATGCTTTAAAGAAAGACTTAATACGTAACTTCCAACATAAGAATACCCAAATGCAAATTGTTCCAAAACAAGCACACATTGCTACCGGGCGGGACACTTTCTTTTTGTGTGGTACCATTCAGAAAATGTTCACACCATTTTCTTGTCTTTGCATTTAGATTTTGCTATCGGTGCTCCAAGATACAAGCTTAATGGGGCAGTAAGTATTTTTACAGGCGTAAAATAGCAAGGTTTGACGAGGTCTTTAATTTTGAAAAGCATACGCCTGCGTGCATGTTTGCATTGCTTTGAATGATTGAACGCAACCATGCTGTTTGAGGTGTAAAACTGCACGATGCAACTTGGAGTACCTGTACACGTATCTTTTTTATTTCAGGTTTTTCTTAAAGATTCCCTTAGCGAAGATCCAAAGGTTTCTCTTCTTGGGGAACAGGTGAAGTTATTCTCCTATTTTATTCTAAAGTAGCATACATGTATATACACGGCATGTCTTTAAAATCGGTAGAGTATATGTTCATGTGATTTTTACTCGCGCATGAATATGAAGAGAGTTTTTTTTCTGTTAAAACAGGACTTGGGATATGGCTCGTATTTTGGAATGGCAGTGTGTGCCGGAGATTTTGATGGAGATAAGTAAGTAAATTATCGTTCATTTATCATCAGCAAGGATTTGTTGCTTGGTCAAACTTAGCTATGCAGCCAAAATTTACATCTCATATAATAGCTATACACGTAAATGCATAAAGTCACGAAGAACACAAGAATTAATCATTGCTGTGCTGTCATAGAATTTTTGAAGTCGTCGTCGGAGCTCCGTTCTTTACGGATTCTATTAACGTCCCGAGCAGTGGAAAAGTTTATCTCTATAGTAGCAAGGTATATATGTAGGCAACTCCTCTTCAGCTAGACTGCTTACTCTACATACCTCCTTCGCGAGGTTGCATGTAAAGTTATCTCTCCAATTCTGAACTAGTAAATGCCTATCTGCAAGTGTAGATGGCGGTAAATTCAGCCACATTTGATTGTTATAAAGGTCTTTTGTCCTGAACTGTTGCCCATGTTGCGATGATATTTTTTAGAATAACTTCACGTCTCCAGTAAAGACATTTAGGGCGCCTGAGACCCAAGCTCGCGCATTGTTCGGCCGGGCTGTTGCTGTCATTGGTGATTTAAATCTTGATGGATTTAACGGTGGGATAATAACACTTGTATAGTTAAGAAACAAGTTTAATAACTTAAAAAATAACTTATCAGTTTAAGCATCTAAAACGCTTTTCACTTTTCACCAACTTGCAGAGCACGAAAATTACATTTTCTCTAAAAAAATGTTTATATTGAAAAACATGGAAAACAATGACAGTTTTGGAAGGTGCCTATGTGTGCCCGGATTCTCTATATGGACACTGTGATCTCCTTTTAGATTTAGCAATCGGTTCACCATATCAAGACGACTCTGGAGCCATCTATATTTACCATGGGTCAAGTGAAAGCCTATCCACATCACCTGTACAGGTAAACCTACAGAGAGAAAGGCAAATGACGGAAACCCGAGAGTTTGTAGCACGTATCACTTCGTTGAATAATTGTATACTAGAAACCAGGAGAGCGCATGCCGATTGCAGAAACTTTAAAGCATTTTTTAATATATTTTTATTATTTTTGGAAGTGCATTTACCTATCTATCATTTTTAGAAATCATGCACTTTCATTAATAGAGAGTGCGTAAAGAGGCCTGTATCATTCCAGCTTTGATAAATAATTTTTTAGACTATAAAACCGTCAGATTTCCCTAACAATCTTAAGACGTTTGGATGGTCAGTTCGTGGTGAAACAGATCTCGATACTAACGGTTACCCAGGTATGAATTTTGTTATGGCATGAATGAAATAGACTGCGCTCATATATATTGTAAACCATTTGAACTCCATATTGAAGTTTTTAGCCTTGTTGTAACATAACTATTCTGATAAGATGTAGTCTGATCCACGCATGCTCTGTGTGGTGTTGCAAAGAATCCCACAACAACAGTAGAAGTGTTTTACGTATAAAATAAGCATCAGTGTAAAGTATCATCGCTTTTTATCGGATAATATGGAAAGCACATTTATTTAATGTACGTAAAGAAGTAATTTTTTGGGGTCCGTTCGTGACCTTTTTGAAAAAATTGTAATCGTGGGCCACATTTCAAAACTAGTTTCAAAAGTCATTTTCATTTTTAAGTCGGTATATTTTTAGCAAAAAGTATGTACATGTATTTCCCCCTTATAGACATTGTTGTTGGAGCGTATGCCAGCGATTCCGTCATGGTTTTAAGGTAAGATATAAAACTACGGGTTTAGCGTCTCTGTTCGTTAAATTTGTCGCTCTATATAGACCATTTAGAGATCAAGCAATTATAAAAAGCGACGTTATATAGCTTTCCGAGGTCCGGGCTTCTACGTTTAGCAATTGGTGACAGAGGCAAGGCGAAAGAAATGTCCCCGTTCATAAAAATACATGTGTTCATGCATGATTTAATTTTGACTTTCGTTACCACAGATCAGTGCCAGTGGTTGTCGTAGATGTTCAGTATAAGTTATCTTCACCCACAATTGATGTATCTAATAAAAGTTGTTTTATTGATGATCCGGTATTAAACAAGAAAATTTCAACTGTATGGTAAGAAACCTTATTTTACAAATGTTCCACAATAGTCGTGGTACGCTTTAGGCTGGGGTCTCGCCTATATTATATTTGCGTACAGTGATTTTCTGTTCGCACGTGTGACAATGCTATTCTATGTTGTTACATGCAAAATATGAAGCCTGAAGAAACAGCAATGACACATGTGTGACCTGAGAATCACCCTATATTGTTATTATTGTTATATTAGCATGTTATCCAATAGCTACAGCATTGATTACACTAGAACCTATTCTAGAACCTTAGCCAAGCTCGAGACTGTAAAGGTCTGTTCACACGATCCAATTTGGTTGGATTCAATTCATTTCTGTTGTTAGATGTTTAATAGTCTGTCGACTTGCAATAAATATGGGCAGCAAATCCACTGAAGCTAATTCAGTATTGCTTTATCGATAATACGCTACATCCCATACGTCAGAAGTGAATTGGGTTGGATTGTGTGAACACACTTGAATGTAAACATTGCTTATTACATTGTGTTGAGAAATGGGCGCTATATTGTCATCAAATGATTCGTTACAATTCTATTTCAGCTTTGTGGTTGAAGTGGTCGCTTCGTACACGGATAGAGCTGGAGAGATGAAAAAACCGATAAGTAAACTTTCATCATTTCTTTCAAGTTTACAAAGTTTTCATGCAGAGCCTCGACCATGGGACTAAATTATACATACTATATTAATCCAGTCGATGCAGGTCTGTAGAATCACGTGTAGAATCACGTGAATGATTGTGAAAGTTGTCGTAGTTTTCAAAGATTTTCATTAATTTATTTCCTAGATATATCGTTCAATATTGATGCAGATACATTGGTTCCAGATGTAGCAGACAAACGAGTTAGATTTGAATCCAGTCAATCGCCTTATTTGGAAATAAAAAATCACCGTGTGGATGAGGGGCAAATGACTCCTATTGTTAGGGCTAAAGCATATTTAAGGGTATGAAAAAATTATTAGAATATTCTGAGACCTATAGCAACACTCACCAGTCTATCTGTGAAACCTTGTTTGTGCATCATTGTGCATCATAGGTCGATCTTTGTCCTGAATGTGATGATTTGATCGAACCGTTCCCGGATATTCAACTTAAAGTAACTCCAGAACTACCAACTCGCCCGGAGCCGCCTACCCCTTCAACATCTGGTACACCACCTTCGCTAGAACGTTACTTTCAACTACCGTATGCCGAGAGTACTGCCGAGGCGAACTTCACTGAGACCACGGTAAGTAACATGATTGATACGTAGGGCAGTTTACATGTCTAGGGTCCTGAAACCTTTACAGAACTTTTGCCTAAGAGCGTGTTAGTTCAACAGATAGCTGATTTGTAAGCTTTTCTATCGTTTGAAAAATGATACGCGGAACTGTTCTCCAAAGCGGTGCTGATTATTTTGGAAAATTAATTCCAATTGTTTTCAATCTCACTTTAGATCCAGGTTAAACGGGCTTGTTCTCCATGTAAACCAGATCTGTGGATTAAAAATAATGGAACTACGTGAGTATGATTCCTGATTATACCACGCTATAGCGCGCGTGTTCCACTGCATATAAGTTACTATGTCCCTGAGGTAAAAAATGTTTTACATTTAACACGAGCAGATTAGGCACCTCGATAACTGATTTTTATATATGTTTTGTATATCGCTGAAGTTTCATAACATATAGTACATGCACCTTTGTAAAAAACACTGCATTACGACTTAGGACGAAGCACGCTTTCGATTGGTCAATGTGGCCAGTCGCCAATCAGATTTTTTAATTTTTTGCAATGAGCTTACTTGATTATACTGACGTGCATGTTTAAATTTGATATTTCTTCCAGGAAAATTCCCGTGCAAGCAAAAAATGTACTCCTTAAAGTTATGATTGGCAACAAATTGGACCAAGCTTATGGAGTTACTTTTACAATTGATCTTCCTCCGCCCCTAAAAGCCCAACCTTGCGGGGAGGAAGATAAGGTTATTTTATGTGTAATACACCACAGAAAATTAAACAGTACAATCGTTTATACATCTCTCGTCACACGTGTAGTCTGCATTGGATTGTGTCGCGTGTTTACTTATCTTTCTTTCGCCCGTCTCATCAAGACAATAATATAAATCTCACTGCTGTACTTTGTTAAATGCCTTATTTTAACGTTACAAACACAACGACCTCTTTTATTTTGTAGTGTTTGTATTTTAAATGTGATAAGAAAAGGAATGGTTCATTGTTGAGCTGTGATCTTTCTGCATTCAAGACAAATAGAGTTTCGGTTAGTATTTAGCTACTACGCCATATCTTGCCACGGGATACAACACTCGTGTTTGGCTTTCAGTTTATTCAATAAAATGAAAAACCGTGTACATTTTTTATACATGTACACTGTTGTTCTCTATAGGAATACAAAATAAAGGTCGATACAAGTAAAGCTTCCAATTCCCTTGAAACATACACAGTGTTAATGAATGTTACAAGGTATGCGCTATGCAATACATTTAATATTGATATAGTTATTGTGTACTTGTCGTTTGAATGTCATCTAGTGGAGAACTTATGAACAACTTTTCTCTAAGAGAGCAGCTATTTATTCTGTAATGAGCATTTACCTTTCTTTCAGCAAAAACAAAGAGGATGCGTCATTATTGGAAGATAACCATCTTCAGTTGGAACTTCAAGTTGCTTCAGAGGCCGATATCGAAATGAGGTGAGTACATTGCATGCTCATCACATTGGTGTGCATGTATAAGGGCTCTGTTATACAGTAGTTACCAATTCCCAGCGCCGTCGTCATTATTGCACCCACACACTTTCCAATTTGCCTACTTTCATTCACTTCACACAGAATTTAATAGTTAATATTCAAATTTTCGTATTTAGAGCGGAAGGTACACAATCACGATATTATGGCGGATCTGTTAGGGGTCAATTTTCTATGACAAATGAAGATCAAATTGGTTTGCAAGTTAATCATACATTTTCTGTAAGTGAAATCACACTCAATAGAATCGGGCTTCGTTTAAATGCATGCCATGATTCACGTGATTCCACCACCATTACAAATGAATAATCATGAAGTTAATAAAAAATTCCTCTGGTTTTATCCACCATGAAGAAATGAAGGTTTTCTTAATCAAATTACATGTCAGCCATTATCCTAGAAGTTGTATTTCTGATACTTGATTATTTCTTGAAATATTTCTGGTTAAAGTAGTTAGTTAAGAAGAATTATGGCAACATTGCCAACATTATGGCAACAAGCCCCTATCCCGAAGTATATACTGTACAAAAATTAGGTTATGGGAGTATAGAAAGGTGCCGGGCCTTTTAATAATCCCAATGAGAGTTATGAGAACCGGTTAGGCTGATTGTTATACATTGAAAGTAAATACATAGTTATATAATTTTTATTTCAATTATTTCTATGAAAAGTATAAAAGCCGCTCGTCTGGTGTATTAAAGGTAAAGAATATATTTCAACTTGTCCTATTTTAGGTCTACAACAATGGCCCGGATCGTGTACCAGAAGTGAATATAACCATTGATTGGCCTTATCAAGCGAAAAGTGGCAAACACTTACTGTATCTTGTTAACATCACGGTGTGTGAATATTCGCGAATGATTGTCGCAGGAATAATTCAGATACCAGCTAATCCACAATGAACACTGTGCAAAAATAGTATAGTTTTTGAAATTTACTTTAGCCATACTCTATTAAATTAATCTTAAATGCTGTTTGAATTATAATGATTGTAAAGTATAGCTAGTACTTAAATATAGAGAATTACTTTTTTCATACCTGCAGTGTATAAGCTACAAAAGTGAATAATATTGTGATATTTCTTTCTATTCGTTCAGGGGAAAGATATTAATAATGGACGCGCGAAATGTTTTCCAGCACCTAATGTTGTGAATCCACTCGCCTCTCAGGTAAGACGATTATCGTTATATACTCCTGTCACCTTTTACGCGCCATGGATATATATCATCATATGTTATCTTATTTTACGATTATCATATTTCTTTAAAGTTTAATAAAGATGATGAAAGCAGAGTGCGTCGTGATGTTGATGATGATAGTAATACGGATCCCGCAGCGTCTTCAACAGAAAAACAGACACCACCAAACAGAAAAGGATCTGCTTCTAGAATTATTTTGGTAAGTATTCTATAATCACTCTATAATCACACATGATCTGCTATAACTAAGCACTCTGATTCTCTAATCTTAGTGCAACACCAGGTAACTCCGCCATTATTGCCATCGCTTTTGCTGACATAACGATTTTAACAAAACAAAACCAGGTCACATTACGCAAATAATCTGCCTTGTGAAAAGTGGATTTCGAATGATAACTTGTAGATTATAGTTCTCCCAAAGCCTAACTCCTAAACACGTTTTTATCCTAAAAATATTTATGTTTTATAAAACATCTTACTTTATTTTTCTTCAGGACTGTGCCAACGGAACAGCAAGGTGTGTTTCAATACCTTGTACAGTAACAAATATTGGCAAGAGTCAAAAGGTTGATATTAAATTTGTGTCAAGAATATGGAATGGTACTTTGCTGGAGGTTAGTTTATAGGTTAAACGTGCATGAAACCACTCTCAATGTGCATGTAAATGAAACAATTGTCGGACGTTCCTCCGGCATTTTGCTATGTAAATTTTTAACCAAATATAAAGCCACATAACAAGCTTATACTGGTGGCGACTATTCACGTAGCTGTACCATATATAGTCATTTGCTTACTTAGTTAACGAGTGTATTATTTAACATTTCTGTTTAGGATTACACTGATAGGGATGTTATTGTTGTCTCCCGGGGTCGTATCGATGAACTCACTAGTTACATTGAAGACGCTAACGAAAATAATCACGAAAAAGAGGTAAGAAATTTATCACTGCACATTATCTGCATGCGAGCAAACTTTGTTGGAAACCGAATTGCGATTTTTGCTGCGGGAACAATTTTTTCCGCATGGTGTTTGCCTATAACTTCGGAAACATTGAGAAACATTGGCGGGAAACAATGATTCCGCCGCAATGTTTCCTAGTTTTCTCAGAGCTTTAATCATCATTTCAATTCAATGCACTAAGGCATGATCTGGATACACCACATCATGATCTGGATGCATCAAACCATAACAGACAAATCTTGCGTTTTGTGTAGACAAGCACATCATTCTTCCCAGCCTCACCCAAGACAACTAAGAAAGATATCGAAGTTTGGATTATTGCCGTATCAGCTGTTGCCGGTGTTGTTCTTCTTGTTATACTGGTAGTTGTATTTAAGATGGTAAGTATAGTTTTTGTATAGAACAACATTCAAAGATGAGGGTAAATTATAGATAAAATTTGGGGCAATTTGTTCGGTATAGCAATAAATACGCCCTTCCTGATATTCGTCAATTTTTTGAAATTTCAAAATTCGGTTCAAGACACCTCGAAATGGTTGACAACTAAGTAGAATTGCATTCTTTCATGAAACAGAAACATTTGAACACAAAAAATCATATTTGGTAAATTTCAAAATTTTAGGCAAATCGGTAAAGGAAACATTCGAAGATTAAAGAGTTCTTATAACACTATAACACTTGTGTGCAGAAAACAAAGTATTTAAAATAATACGACTAATTACCTAGGTAAAACGAATGGTAAAACGAAGTTTAGGTTCTTATGTGAACAAGTCCTAGTATAGTTTTCATCTTATAGTTGTTCTATTTTGCTTGGTTATTCCAATAAATATTAAATTTGATTATAATTTTTATTGAATTTGATTATAATTTTTATTTTTAGTGTGGTTTCTTCAATCGATCTGGAGCACAAAGATACGATGCTGTACCAGAAAATTAGGATCAATTTACAAAGAGAATATTGCAGTATTGAAAAGTCGAGTTTTATGAATCCTTGAAAGAGGTATTCCAATTTCTTAGTGCTTGGAGTATTACTTAGAAGGTCTCGAATATATTTTTTTAGCGTGTTAAACTAGTGTTGAAATTTAAGCATTTCTTTAATAATGTATTTTTAGTGAAAATAGACGTAATTGTTAGCATTTTTATACGATTAGTATATATGTATTATATTTTACCCCCTAGTTAGTGTTGTTGACGATGTAGTATATTGAATAAATTGTATTGTAGTGTATATGATTGTATACGATTGTATGGCATGATTGACGCTCGGGGCACTTAACTGGCTGGGAGACAAAACTGATTGCATGCTCGTTGTATCACGGTATTTCCATTCGACTGAAAGCACGATTTTGAGTGTTTTACACTGATTGAGGAAATTCTCTTGATGGATTGAATTTCCTTTTGTTTGTGGTTTCCAGACCAGAAATAAAAAAATTCTCGTTGGTTCTATTCTCGGGGATAATTTTCCGGTTGGAAGCGAGCCTTAACCCTGGTTGACCTCATGACGTGTTTTATTGTCACATGCAGAGCTTCCTTGTTGGCGGTATAACCTGTTGTGTTGTCAACAAACATGGAAGCCAACATTGCAAGCAGAATACCTATTCTTTTACTTTGTGCTTTATTGTGTCTTCTTTTGGAACCGATTCATGCCAGGTCATTCACGATTGACTATGAAAACGATTGCTTTCTGAAGGATGGAAAGCCGTTTCGTTACATATCTGCCGGTATGCACTATTTTCGAGTGCCGCGAATGTATTGGAAGGACAGATTGCTAAAAATTAAAGCTGCAGGTGTAAATGCCGTCCAAACGTAAGTAAGATCAGTTATGTTACATTTTGATGTGCAAAAGATCCAAAGCGACAACTGACATTTTGATGTAATGCCTTTGTAGGTATATAAAGTTTATTTACTTTAATAGGCTCATCGCTCCGTGTTCAACAATTCCTTCATGATCCATTGTATTTATACGTGTTCCAGTTCATTTCATGTTCATTGAACAGAAACGCATTTTCTTATTGATTGCAGCGAGTCAGGGACAGCCGTTGATCCTCATTACGACTTGTATACTGATTACTGTTCTCTTAGGAGTTCTTCAAACATGCATGATTCTCACGTGCCATTATAACAATAGATAATCATTCACTTTCGGTCCATTATAAATAACACTATATATTATAAATAATAGAATGGATCTATCATAAGCACTATCGGTCTGACGGTCTGTGATAAATATCAGTGTCGTTCAATTAATTTCCCGCGCCATCTCAGTACTCTTAATTCGTAAAGTACTCTTTCCATCACGAGATTGTATTAATTTGTAAATTATTCTATTATTATCCAAGTTCTACATAATTAATGCATGATATATTGCTATTTCACGTTTTTAGATATATTGCTTGGAATATTCACGAGCCAGAACAAGGGACGTACAACTTTGATGGTGATGCTGATCTTTTAAGCTACATTAAGTTGATACAAGAGACTGGGTTGTTGCTCATTTTGCGACCAGGTTAGTAAAAAAATCGAGAGCTGAGGTGATATAAATCAGTGACAGCTGACAATGTGCCAAACACTAGTACTCCTGAACAGCGGTTTCCCTATTTTGGAGCTCCGCCGAAAAGTGTATAGGCTAGTTAGTTCAAGTATCCTATATTGAAGTGATTTTTCTTACTTTAGGTCCATATATATGCGCTGAATGGGATTTTGTAAGTCCATCCTTCGGTATTCAGTGAAACGTTCATTGGAGAATAAGTCATTATTACTCACTTCTTTCAGGGCGGTTTTCCACCATGGTTGTTAAAAAATGCCTCCATTATTTTGCGTTCCTCCAAAGATCCAGGTACGACGTTTGGTAGCAATCTTGGTGATCAAAGCACGCCTGATTTTATACTTTGAACAAGAAAACTATAGTGAGATGACTTGTCCTGAAATGTTTTAGCGACGTCGTATTCGTATACTTTGGGTTACATCAAAGTCATTTTTATAGTCAGCTGGTTTCACTCATCGAAGTTTGGCTGTTTTCTTTGGAATAGTATAACTATGTAGTTTTCCTGTAAAAATAAATGATCATTATTATGCTGTTACTTTGTTACTAGTGTACACCTCTGCAGTAGCGTCCTGGTTTAAAGTCCTTTTACCAATGTTACGACCTTATTTATACTCCAATGGTGGACCAATCATTTCAGCACAGGTGAAGTCAATTTTTCTAACTGCATGACATTGCGCTGTTCAAATTGCTGTATATGATTGAAGCGAAGTACGAAAAGGCTTCTCCACTTTATGTAAATTAAAATGCTGCATACCGCAAGATTCAAACAAGGAGTGGTTGGGATGGTGCCAACCAGGTGTGAATTGATTTGCTTATTATCATATTTTTTTATAAACATTATGCAGGTAGAGAATGAATATGGCAGTTACTTCACTTGTGACCAAAAATATCTGGAGTATTTAAAGAATTTGTTGGAAGAATATCTCGGGAAAGATGTAATTTTGTTTACAACCGACGGAGACAGCGAAAGTCTTTTAAAATGTGGCACATTGCCTAGTCTATTCAGTACAGTGGATTTTGGACCAGGTTAGATGGACTTATTTCATTTAAACAACCATGACGACAAATTTAGTCTAAATCAGAGCATATAGTTAATTATCGACCTATGTATGTATGTATAGAATTGCCACTTTTCTTTCGCGAAAATCCCCCCTTGCCTTCAGTTCCGACATAAGGATGTGCAAACTTTCTACAAAAAAAGTAAACTAGTAAAAATTCAGAAAGGAGAGATTTTTGAACACAGGTTGTTGGTTCTATGTTTTCAGGATCAGATCCAGCAAAGGCATTTGCCGTGCAAAGAAAATATCAAGCGCACGGCCCGTTAGTGAATTCAGAGTATTACACAGGTTGGCTGGATCGATGGGATATCAAGCATCAAACCACGGACCCTACTGTTGTTGCTAATGCTCTGGACAAAATCTTATCCATGAATGCTTCCGTAAACATGTACATGTTTGAAGGAGGGACGAATTTTGGATATATGAGTGGTAAGTTTTCAAATGATACTTCTGCATGAGAGATGCGTGTTTTCTACTGAAGTCTGAAGATTATAATTTTCACCGGGGAAAATTAGGGAACTTTATATAACTACAGCAACAAGACCACGGCCATACGAGATTCTAACAGCAAACTGCAAAATAAAATGAAGTAACTTCATTTGAATCTAATTTTGTTTCCAGTTGTCAAAAGTAATTTGATTTGCACGTTTCACATTAAAATAGACGATTATGTCAAATCCTAGCTGTCAAGGGATATGTCAATTCCCTGACAAGTAAAATATTTTTGAACCCACCTTGCTGTTTTTCTGAATGTATATTCTTGAATTCGCACGTCCTTACATAGGCGCAACATTTGGTAGCAATATTTACCATCCATGTACCACCAGTTATGATTACGATGCACCTTTGTCTGAAGCCGGAGATCCAAATATTAGCAATAAGAAATACGACGCTATCAAGACAGTTGTCAACAAATACCTGCCCGATCCAGGAATTCCCATTCCTCCACCGACTCTTAAGTATGCTTATGGCAAAATAACTATGGAGGTAAGCATAATAAGTTAGAAATTATGTTTAATACTTCTATAGTCCATATATTTGGATTTCATATTTATCTATATAGAGGAATGGCTGGGGCCGCTATATGGAAAAACCTCTGTGGCTAATTCTCCGTGCTTTCTTTTTTAACTTTAGATTGTTCCAACATGGTCATTTAAAACACAGCAGATGTCAAAGTACCCTCTCACCATGGAGCAAATGGACATGTATTATGGCTTTGCTATTTATAAGACCACCATTCATAAAACACCGTCGCTAAAAGGTCCACAAGCAAGCAAACTTAGTATGCCCGGTGTACGCGACAGAGCAATTGTCTTCGTTTGTCAGGTATATGGACTAGGTGACTGTGGTTAGTTATCTAAATGGATTGCTAAAAAGAATTATTGTTTTTGTTTATAGAGTAGACAAGGTGTCATTCAACGTAACGACGAAGAAAAAAGCCTGAACATTGAAGTTGACAAAGATTGCCCCCTTGAAATTATGGTAGAAAACCAGGGGCGTATTAACTACGGTCATATGAATGATCCTAAGGGACTTGTGAGTAATGTTACCCTTGATGGTGTTGTTCTGATGAATTGGACAGTCATGCATATTGATGCACCACCTGAAGTCTTGACAGACATGCCAAGTGACGCACTTTGGAGAAACGACGAGGTGAAAGTCCCTGCTTTCTACAAAGGAACTGTTCCTCCTATACCCAAAGGAGTAGCGCATCAGGACACATATTTGTTGTTGAAAGGTTGGACTAAGGTGCGTGTCATTTTTCCTGAGTTCTCCTTAAGCAGAATTAAAACGTAAGTAATAAGTAAAGTTGGAATTCATTCGTGGAGGTTACTTCACGAATAAGTCAGTTTCATTCTGACTAATTTTCAGGCTCGTGGCTTACGTGATGTACATCCGGTTAAAAGTAGTATAATTTATCTTTTCGGTAGAAACTTCTTCCGGCTTTCTGTTGAATGACATTTTACTTTTTTACACTTATAGGGTCAAGCTTTTCTAAACAACTTCAACTTGGGTCGTTACTGGCCAGTCGAAGGTCCGCAAATCACATTGTATGTTCCGGCAAGTGCTTTTATAGACGATTCAGAAAATGTCCTGACAATATTTGAATTAGATCATTCACCTTGTGACCGGCCTGAAAACTGTCTTGTAGAGATGGTGAAAACTCCGATTCTGAATGGAACTGTACATGTTGAATACTAATAATAATTGGCCGCGCGCTGATCTAAGAAAAAAATGACCAAACATAGATTTGCCTTCAATTTTCATAATATCTCATCGATCACTGATGATATTATTTCAGCGATAATATTACTAATCAAGTATTGATTCTATATATAATAGTTACAACCTTTCCAAGGTTTAGAATTGAGATCAGGGGCAATTTAGCACTTACGGACAATTTAGCACTTAGGTTAATTACAATTACCATAAATTTATTACGTTCAATTTCATAGTTCAATTTTTGAATAATTAAAAAGTTTTGTTCCCAGCTCTTTTATGAGTCACGCGGACGGCGAACGTGCAACAAAAAAGCAACATGGCGTCAAATATTTCTTATAAAATTTTATCGGTTTTACTTCTTTTCGTTCTATTGTTGTCTCACTCTCTTGCTGCAAAAGATTTAGACAAAAACTCAGATGAAAACGATTTTGCTGAATTTGAGACAGAAGATGACGACGAAAGCGACGATGCTTATGAAGATGAAATAGAAACCAAACCGGCTGAAAGAAACAGGGCTAAGGGCACTGGAGTTGGTGACGATAATAGTGATGATGATGTTGATGTTGAAACCGGTAGGTTTTAGTTTGGTAGGTTTGCCTTGTCAGGTAGCTATGCCTTTTTCCTGTCGTTTATCTTGAAGTATGTCAGGAATAATATATTAGATGTATGTACTGTCTTGTGATACATGTGTTATTATACTTAATAATTAAACATGTAATTGAAGCCATGGAATATGAGTTTTCTCTGCAGTAGGATAAAGCTATCTCTTAAAAGTTTGTCTTCAGCCAAGGTGGAAAAATTGTATTACTGCAACAACGATATTGGCCATCTGTAGTGTATATCTTTATAAAATACCATTTGATTTTGAAATTTTGATTACAGGTGTGCCAATTACCAAACTTTCCATTCACCACTAACATATTATTTCTTTTGCCATCACAGTGGATCTGACTTGCCATGCTCTTCTGTGGTGAATTTTGTGTGAAGTAGTCTGATCATTAAAAATATCATTACCTTCTTTCTAATTAAATAACAATATTAATAAAATAAAGTCAAATGTTCTTGTTGTACATCTTATAATTTTATCATTCAATTGTTTGTATTCTTTTATGTGTGTAACACTTGGAAATGCAAAAAATATATAAACACTAGTTACACTACTTAAAAATATATAAACACCACTTAAAAATATATTTAGATGATGGAGGTGAAAGTGATGAGTCTGATGAAGCAGAAGAAGACTTAACTGTTGAGGTAGGGTAATTTAATTTAGGTGATTGTCCAGGGTTCAAGTCCATCTATAGAAGGCTTTGTACCCTAATGATGTAGCTGCCAGTATGTCCACTACAACTACTTGCATAACATCAGTCAATGGATTTATATATATTTTAAAAAAATATTCTTCAGTTATGGTTCAAAATTCTCTGGCAACAAAAATTCATATCCATGTCAGTGTCTTTATGTCTTATAGGTTTTCAAAAACATAAATAGCCAAGTACAAAGACTTTAGCTCAGTTTTTAGACCAAAACTTAAAACTAAATTTACTGTCTTAGACTGAAGATGATTATGATCATTTTGCTGATGAAGAAGAGTTTGAGGTTTGACTATTATGTCTCGATTGCCACGTCTATATATATGTAACTAGCTATGTGACATATTAAATAACACTCTTGAATTATCCTCAGGGGTACTCAAGAGACAAGTCTGGCAGTAAAGGAAAACAATCTGAACCTGACCTAAAGATAGCAAAGGTATGTTGATATGCGTGGGCCATGCCTTTGCAGCCTGCTTATGCAAAGGAAAGTTTTTTATTGAAGCCATTTATTTCAGTTTTCATTATTGTGCTTTAAGAAACATTGATCATTTTGTTTTAAAAAAAATTGTTTTACTATTATTAGGTTCCATTGCATTTGAGAGCAAATTGGGAAGGATTTTATTTGGAAATTTTGATGATTGCTGGTTTAGCAGCTTATGCTTTGAACTTCTTTGCTGGCAGGAGTAAAAATTCAAAACTTGCCACAGCCTGGTAAATTTTAGTTAGGATCATTCTGTATATACTGTGTATAGGATGATTGCCATTAATCTGTTGTACAATACACAAGAAATACATACAGTCATAAAGGATGTTTTATGAACCAGTGTAATAAGTAAATTAACATTTCTGTCTAAAAATAGGATGAAATATAACAGAAGCATTATGCAGGATAATTTTTCAATTGTTGGTAAGTACAATTTATAGTTCTTGGCCCTTGGAACCAGGTTGATTTTCGTCATCAATTTGGGCCCTTAATTTTTGGCTATATGGTAATTTATTAACAATGAGATAATGATGTACCAGTGTAAGCATCCTAGCTAGCATGTTTAAATGTTTTTCATGTGGAGCAAAGGATCAAATGTGGAGCAGAGGATTCACTAGTCCCTATGTGTACACTGCACCTACTACAAAGCAGCTAGCGCATGCAGCTGAACTACTGTACATAATGTTACACAAAATATAGTTGGCTTGCAGAGATTAACCAGAGATTAAATCTCAAATGTAGGTGATGATGGATCAGGTGATGAACCCCAACAAGGAATTCTTGTGAAAGAAAGTGAAAGTCATTATTCTTTGTGGTGTTCAGGAAGAGTGAATTGTGAAGGACTTCTTGTTGAGCTGAAGGTATGTGAACACTAGAAACCACAACACATTAGTAAGCCAACAAAAAGCAAGTGCACCGACATCCCAACTCTGGATGTGTATTGGTTAGAATATTATTTTTTTAAAATGGACATTTATAATGTGAAGCCTGTCATTTTTTGAAAAATTTGAATAGTAATTATGGGCAGCATATAACGTATTGACTCTTTAAGGAGATGTGTGTACACCTTCATTTTTTCACCCATGAGGCATTTAACATGTACAATTTTTGAATAGTGCGCATGTTTGAAAAATATATTATATATACCTAATACCCTAAGTCTTGTTTTTGAAGTGGTAGATTTAAATCCTTTCTCTCTATGTTTCATTTAAAGTTGCTTAAAAGGCACGATTTGGTTCATGTTCTCACATACATGTTCAAGCCAACTTCAGATAAAATGGCAAGTAAACCAGAGTGTTGTGTATTTTTGTATGTATGTAATCTTTTATTTGTGAATGTCTCATTGAAAATGGGGTGTGGAGAATCTACCTGAATTCTGGACTGTGTATTTTCAAAGGTTGCAACAGTTTACATGAGTGATGAAGACATGGATAACTTTGTCTTTGCAATCTATCCAAAACGCACAGCGGGAAGAATGCAGAAAGAACTTCAAGATTTAGTATGTTGATTTGTGTTTGTGATAGTGTTTTTATCTAAATATTCTGATGGCGTACACTTCTAAATTGTATTACATAGTAATAGACCGCCTATCTAACTAAATGGACGTAAAGCCATATTGTCTGTTTTGCAGAATTTCTTCTGCCCAGAACGACGTCCTGCGGAGAAAGTTGGGTTACCCAGTACATACAGTATTTTATCAGAAAGTGCAGAAATGCTAAGCTTGCTCTCAGTGACCGTAAGAGATTCTTCTTCCTACATATTAAAATATGAAGTCCTTCTATTCCAGTTCACTCCAATTCTCATATGTCATTGTATCCTATTTAGGTGACAAAGCTAATAACAGATAAAAGCGATCTATTTGAAAGCTTACACTTCTCTGATCAATATGTTGGATATAAAAAGAATCCAGAGTGAGTTGGTTTATTCTCTTCAGTATAGCTCGCGTGAACTTTAGCATAGTAATCAAAACAGTCAAATATTCTGACCTCAGCTGGCATAGTATTGATAGTGTAGTTAAGTAAATTTAAAATCGTTTTAGTGAAGCAGAAAATCCTGAGGAAATGAAGCCACAAAAAGCAAGAAAAGTTCTAATTTTTACATTTAATCGTGAGTGTTTAATTATCAGTTGGTAAAAATGTTTTTATTGATATCGTTATTCGCGTGTAACTAGTCTTGAAAATGCTGCGCAGTTACTGCTGACTCGAATATGAATATTTGTGGGCCAAAGCTGTACCTCCCCCCCCCCTTCCTTCCGCGGAATGCCAGCTGTATGGATGATATAGAGACCATAAAACTATGGTTATAGCTATATTAGGTAGCGCATGATCTTTTAGACGATCCGTTATATTGAAACTGCGTTCAAGCGTGTATGTATATGTACGTATACATAAGTTAATATTCAATATCATGGACTGGTTTCCAGTGAAAAAGCTTTTTTATCACTGGAGCTAAATCGAGAGTCTTAATTTCGGTCTGGGTTTTTTTTCGCGCAAGACTTGTTCTTCCACGCTGCAATCGTAATTTAGGCCAATCGAAATAAATCGTGGTCGCGTGTGACTATTTGTGATCATCTTATTGCCGTTCAGCGCCTCATTCGACTTCCAGCTTGTGTGTGCTTAACATAAGCTGCGGTTGTAAGGCCAGTTTTCTGACCTACGGAACGTGTTAACGGAACGTTAACAAAAAGTGTAATAATAGTACGTTTTATTATGCGTACACTGTCAACTATTTGTGAATGTACGCTTTTCTAAGCGTACTCAATCTAAGCTGCAATAACTGGACGTATATTTTGTGTATTAATCGATCAAGACTAAACGACGGTACGCATATTTTGTGTCCTCGATGAAAACTAAACGACTGTGAGCTGAGCGTATATTCTGTGTCCTCGATCTAGTTCATATATATGAAAATATATTCATTATTTATTATATATCCATATAAATAAATGGTAAAATGGTAAAAGCACCAGCAAAAAGGCTCTTTTAGCTCGAGTAAACGCTTAGCAAGCGTCTTGTTATTATTTTAGTTCCTGGTAAAGGAAAGACGAAGTACACTTACATGGAAATGTGCAAACCCTTAATTAACTTAATATTTCATTTTATGGATAAAGTAAAGAAATTTAAACTAAGTAAAGATGTAAGTATATTATTAATCTGTGCATATCCATTGAAAATTCTCTTTCATTTGTGCATGACTCCATTAAGTACCTTTGTTTTAAATTGTCGTCATTTAAGAACTTCAATGTATGTTTGATTTTGATGTGAAAAGTTTTCAAAAAGGAAAATTTTCTAGTATACTGCAAGTGCTATTAGGGTAAATATTCTTGACAATATGTTTTGCAATTTTGATGCGATTGAATATGATTCCTGTTTGAAGGCTAAAACAAAATCTGATAAGAAAAGACGAGAAATGGAGGAATCGTTTTGGAAACAAGCTCACGCTTCCCGTCAAGAGGTATTGTATAATGTTCATACAAGGCATGATGACAGTGAGATTTCAAGGGGATGTCTATGCAAAGAATAATGACAGGGAATGACTATGCAGGGTACATATTGACAGGGAATGTCTATGCAGGGTACATATTGACAGGGAATGTCTATGCAGGGTACATATTGACAGGGAATGTCTATGCAGAATATAATGAAAGAGAATGGAAAATAGCTATGCAGGTTATGTACATATTGACAGGGAATGTCTATGCAGGGTATAATGACGGAATGTCTAAGCAGGGTACATATTGACAGGGGATGTCTATGCAGGGTTACAATGACAGGGAATGTCTATGCAGGATACAATGGTAGAGCATCTTTATGCAGGGTAAAACCACAGAGAATGTCTATGCAGGGTACAAAGACAGAGAATGTCTATGCAGGAATCAGAATCTCCTTTTTGGCATTATTTTTGGGCATGCAGAAACACATGAGCAGTAAATACTAGTGTAATTACCGTATATAGATAATATTAAACAACAATACCTGTATTAAGGCGGCTCAGTTACGTCGTGAGGAGAAGCAGCGTGCAGAAAAAGAACGCATAATGAATGAAGATGATACTGAAAAACAAAGACGATGGGAGGTACCGTATGTCGTAATGTGTGTTGTACCTAAGTCACTAGATGTAACTGTGTTTTTGATAGTTAGATAATTAGAAATATCGTGTTCATGCTATGGGAAAATTACGCGCAGTGTTATAGATACAGTAGCTACACATATTTTCTGATTGTAGGAGAAAGCACATAAAAAAGAAATGAAAAAACGAAACCCTGCGTTCAAAATGAAACAACTGAAGGCGAGAGCCTAACGCAAACTCCTGCATGCACTGTCTGTAATGGCCATAATCATTATAACTATATATAGTTATAGTTTGTTAGTTTGCAGGTTTCATATTTTTAATTTATGCAATTTAAAATAAAATGCCCTCTCATTGTGTAAACGTTAATGCATTACTGAAATGGACACATCAGATAAATATCAGCGTACGAATAAGTATTTTTATTTTCTATTTTGACGTAGAAATTACACAATGCTTGTTTACATGAAGCCTGTTTGATAAATCATTAATATGGCAAATCTCTTTTACACAGTATATGGCCTGCTGACACAGCCAAAGCTACACAAACCAGAAAACAAAAAATGTCTTCAAAAATACAAAAAACAACGTTACGAGTAATAACATTCAATTGCGTTTTTCCCTTCAAAATTTCAATCCGTGAATGTGTGACGAAGGTTTTGTTTTGTGACCTCTTTCAGTATAATAAAAAGCTTCCTTTTTTTCATTTTTCGGCTATTATTTTTGGTGTGCATGTTGAAAATCCGAAATCATAATAAAAAAATCTCCAGGCTGTTCATCATATGACGCGCGCACAACAACACAAGTTCATAACCTCCTTATTCGTCCAATCGCTCTTATGATTTACGATAAAACTTTAAACCCTGAAATCAAATTCGCTCACGTGAACACAATCTGCTTTGACAATCCCTTTTGATGGTTCGTGCATGGCCTTTATATCATGCACCTGGAATCCAGTCATTCGGAAACATGTAAACCAATGTCCAAGTATCTTTTGTGTGAAATGATGTTACATGTCTGGGTCCTAACCTTTTACATTACTCTCCATTTGAAAGATCAAAAACTCAAATAAAAAGGATAGAAGAAACAAAGTTTCAAGATGTTGCATGATGTTCTACATAGTCGCATTTTTTCTCTAATTCGATGATGTTAACGAAGAGAAGATACATTTCTTTCATCCAAGATGTTAACCTGACTGTTTTTCTTTAAGACCGGGTAGATGTTACATCAGTCATTATTACATTGCCTTCCGATTTAAAGATCGAGTATTTGAACGGAAAGGACTGACGAATCAAAGTTACAAGGTTTTACATGATGTTAACAAAGAGAAGAAATATTACTTTTCATCCAAGATGGTAACCTGACTGTTTTTATTTAAGACCGGGTAGATGTTACATCAGTCAGGATGGATGAAAGTTTCAAAATGTTGCGTGGTTGATGTTTTAAGAAGTCGCATTCTTTCTCTAATAATTCGATTATGTTAATGAAAAGAAGATAGTTACCTGACTGTTTATATTTTAGACCGGGTAGATGTTGCATTAGTCAGGGTCCTATCTTATTACATTACCTTCCGATTGAAAGATGGAATATTTGAACGGAAAAGATAAAAATATAAGTTTCAAGATGTTCCATGATGTTTTATATGTAGTTGCAGTCTTTCTTTTATTTGATGATGTTACCGAAGAGAAGGTATCTTATTTTTCTTCCAAGATGGTAACCTGACTGTTTTTATTTAAGACCGGGTCTAGTCAGGGTGGAAGGTTGAGTTTCAAGATGTTGCGTGTTTAATGTTTTATCTAGACGCATTTTTTATTGATACTTTCTAATTCTTAACGGATTCTGGTGGGCGGGAACGTCCAGCTTCCCGACGTAGGATGCAGTATATTGATTTCCTACTCCATGCCTGGCATTCTTTCTCTAATTGAATGATGTTAATGAAGAGAAGAAATATTACTTTTCGTCCATGATGGTAACCTGACTGTTTTTATTTAAAACCGGGTAGATGTTACATCAGTCAGGATGGATGGATGAGAGTTTAACGATGTTGTGTGGTTGATGTTCTATGTAGTAGCATTTTTTTTTACTTTTTAATTCTTAACGGACTCTGGTGGGCGGGAACGTCCAGCTTCCCGACGTAGGATGCAGTATATTGATTTCCTACTCCATGCCCTTCATGAAAAAATGTGAATTTAGACGAAAGAGGAAAGATGTCATATAAGCCGCTATGGTCCGTCTTAATTTTCACATTTGGAGCATAGAAATGAAAGTTTTAAGATGTTGCATGATGTTTTATACAGTCGCATTCTTTCTCTAAATAGACGATGTTAATGAAGAGAAGAAATATCACTTTTCATCCAAGATGGTAACCTGACTGTTGATGTTTTATGTAGTCGCATTTCTCTATTGATACTTTAAATCTTAACGGACTCTGGTGGGCGGGAACGTCCAGCTTCCCGACGGAGGATGCAGTATATTGATTTCCTACTCCAAGAAATATTACTTTTCGTCCATGATGGTAACCTGACTGTTTTTATTTAAAACCGGGTAGATGTTACATCAGTCAGGATGGATGGATGAGAGTTTAACGATGTTGTGTGGTTGATGTTCTATGTAGTAGCATTTTTTTTTACTTTTTAATTCTTAACGGACTCTGGTGGGCGGGAACGTCCAGCTTCCCGACGTAGGATGCAGTATATTGATTTCCTACTCCATGCCCTTCATGAAAAAATGTGAATTTAGACGAAAGAGGAAAGATGTCATATAAGCCGCTATGGTCCGTCTTAATTTTCACATTTGGAGCATAGAAATGAAAGTTTTAAGATGTTGCATGATGTTTTGTATAGTGGCATTCTTTCTCTAATTGAATGATGTTAATGAAGAGAAGAAATATTACTTTTCATCCAAGATGGTAACCTCACTGTTTTTATTTAAGACCGGGTAGATGTTACATCAGTCAGGATGGATGGATGAGAGTTTCAAGATGTTGCGTGGTTGATGTTTTTGGTTGATGTTTTCGCATTTTTTTATTGATACTTTTTAATTCTTAACGGACTCTGGTGGGCGGGAACGTCCAGCTTCCCGACGTAGGATGCAGTATATTGATTTCCTACTCCATGCCCTTTATGATAAAATGTGGATTTAGACGAAAGAGGAAAGATGTCATATAAGCCGCTGTGGTCCGTCTTAATTTTCACATTTGTTCTCATTCGCATTTTGTTCTCATTTCTTTTGATCAAAGATAGTTACCTGACTGTTTATATTTTAGACCGGGTAGATGTTACATTAGTCAGGGTCCTATCTTATTACATTACCTTCCGATTGGGAGATTGAATATTTGAACGGAAAGGATAGAAATGAAAGTTTCAAGATGTTGCATGATGTTTTATACAGTCGCATTCTTTCTCTAAATAGACGATGTTAATGAAGAGAAGAAATATCACTTTTCATCCAAGATGGTAACCTGACTGTTTTTATTTAAGACCGGGTAGATGTTACATCAGTCAGGATGGATGGATGAGAGTTTTAAGATGTTGCGTGGTTGATGTTTTATGTAGTCGCATTTCTCTATTGATACTTTAAATCTTAACGGACTCTGGTGGGCGGGAACGTCCAGCTTCCCGACGTAGGATGCAGTATATTGATTTCCTACTCCAAGAAATATTACTTTTCGTCCAAGATGGTAACCTGACTGTTTTTATTTAAGACCGGGTAGATGTTACATCAGTCAGGATGGATGGATGAGAGTTTCAAGATGTTGCGTGGTTGATGTTCTATGTAGTAGCATTTTTTTTTCTTTTTAATTCTTAACGGACTCTGGTGGGCGGGAACGTCCAGCTTCCCGACGTAGGATGCAGTATATTGATTTCCTACTCCATGCCCTTCATGAAAAAATGTGGATTTAGACGAAAGAGGAAAGATGTCATATAAGCCGCTATGGTCCGTCTTAATTTTCACATTTGGAGGATAGAAATGAAAGTTTTAAGATGTTGCATGATGTTTTGTATGGTGGCATTCTTTCTCTAATTGAATGATGTTAATGAAGAGAAGAAATATTACTTTTCATCCAAGATGGTAACCTGACTGTTTTTATTTAAGACCGGGTAGATGTTACATCAGTCAGGATGGATGGATGAGAGTTTCAAGATGTTGCGTGGTTGATGTTTTTGGTTGATGTTTTCGCATTTTTTTATTGATACTTTTTAATTCTTAACGGACTCTGGTGGGCGGGAACGTCCAGCTTCCCGACGTAGGATGCAGTATATTGATTTCCTACTCCATACCCTTCATGAAAAAATGTCGGTTTAGACAAAAGAGGAAAGATGGCATATAAACCGCTATGGTCCGTCTTAAATTTTAAATTTGTTCTTATTCGCATTTTGTTCTCATTTCTTTTGATCCAAGATAGTTACCTGACTGTTTATATTTTAGACCTGGTAGATGTTACATTAGTCAGGGTCCTATCTTATTACATTACCTTCCGATTGAGAGATCGAATATTTGAACGGAAAGGATAGAAATGAAAGTTTTAAGATGTTGCATGATGTTTTATACAGTCGCATTCTTTCTCTAATTGGATGATGTTAATGAAGAGAAGAAATATTACTTTTCATCCAAGATGGTAACCTGACTGTTTTTATTTAAGACCGGGTAGATGTTACATCAGTCAGGATGGATGGATGAGAGTTTTAAGATGTTGCGTGGTTGATGTTTTATGTAGTCGCATTTCTCTATTGATACTTTAAATCTTAACGGACTCTGGTGGGCGGGAACGTCCAGCTTCCCGACGTAGGATGCAGTATATTGATTTCCTACTCCATGCCCTTCATGATAAAATGTGGATTTAGACAAAAGAGGAAAGATGGCATATAAACCGCTATGGTCCGTCTTAATTTTCACAATTGTTCTCATTGGCATCTTATTCTCATTCTTATTTTGTTCTCATTTCTTTTGATCAAAGATAGTCCCCTACTGTTTATATTTCAGACCGGGTAGATGTTGCATTAGTCAGGGTCCTATCTTATTACATCACCTTCCGATTGAGAGATCGAATATTTGAACGGAAAGGATAGAAATGAAAGTTTTAAGATGTTGCATGATGTTTTATATAGTCGCATTCTTTCTCTAATTAATGATGTTAATGAAGAGAAGAAATATTACTTTTCATCCAAGATGGTAACCTGACTGTTTTTATTTAAAACCGGGTAGATGTTACATCAGTCAGGATGGATGGATGAGAGTTTCAAGATGTTGCGTGGTTGATGTTCTATGTAGTAGCATTTTTTTTTATTTTTTTTAATTCTTAACGGACTCTGGTGGGCGGGAACGTCCAGCTTCCCGACGTAGGATGCAGTATATTGATTTCCTACTCCATGCCCTTCATGAAAAAATGTGGATTTAGACGAAAGAGGAAAGATGTCATATAAGCCGCTATGGTCCGTCTTAATTTTCACATTTGGAGGATAGAAATAAA